AAAGCTATAAATCTAGGATGCACTTTGAGTATTTGCCTAAGGAGGGTGAAACGAGGAATGGGGGGCAAGTTTTTGGTAGGGCATTATGGGCTTTTGGCCAGAGCATTGAAGCATTCAAGCATTGTAGGCCCATCGTCTCAATTGATGGCATGTTTCTCACAAGAAAATTTGAAGGCACAATGCTTATATGTATTGGAACTAATTTAGAAGACCAACTTGTCCCATTGTCTTTTGGTATTGTTTGGAAGGAAGACATGGATAGCTGGTGTTGGTTCCTCAGACTAGTAAGACAAGTGGTTATTGGGCCAGGACATGATGTTTGTGTAATATCAGATAGGCATGCTGGCATTCTAAATGTTGTAGAAGAAGACATGCTCCGTTATGGCCAAATACATCACCGGTGGTGCACAAGACACCTTGCTCAAAATCTTATAAGGCGTGATGGCACAAAGGACAACTTCAAGTTATTTGAGGAGGTTTGTAGGCAGCTTGAGGTTAAGTTATTCAATGAAAAGCTAGACGCCCTGAAGTTAGCCACAAATGCTAGTGGAAGATAGTTCCTCACTGACTCGATGCTATCTAAGGAGAAGTGGACCCTCGCATACGACACTGAAGGTTGGAGATGGGGCTTCATGACTAGTAATATGGCAGAGATGTTCAATAGTCTTCTTAGAGGGTGTCAGGGTCTTCCCATGACTGCTATTGCCTCATTCACGTTCTACAGGTTGAACGTTTGGTTTGTTGCGAGGAAAAAACATGCGAGATCTCTTTGGATAGCCAACAAACCATGGCCACCGTTAGTATCTCAACAACTCTCTTGGTCAAAGAAGAAGCCTAAAACACAAAAGGGGGCATGTTTTGATCCTTTGAACAACGCATATGAGATTCTAGATAGCGGTGGAACTAACATCTGTGGTGAAGACCGTGGTGCTGCAAAGCATAAAGTAATAATCAATGAGAACAAATGTTCCTGTGGAAAACCAACCATATACCATAGGCCTTGCTCCCACATGATTACGGCTTGTCGGATTAGACGTGTTGATGCTGAGGTCCCTCCCCGTTTGGCAACTGAGTTCTCATTGAGAAACCTTATGAGCACTTGAAATCCTCAGTTTGAGCCATTTCTAGATGAAGACCAATGGCCGTTGTATGATGGCCCAAGTATGTGGCTGATCTTGGCTTGCTTTAGAAGAGTAGAGGACCCAGGAGGCGAAAGTGGTTCAAGATGGACATGGACCGAGCCGCCAAAGAAAGATCAACCACGAGTAAGGTCGGGACACATTTTGTAGAGGACACTCAATGTAGTCATTGCTCAAAGTTCCATAAGCTGGGCCACAATAGAAGAAAATGTCCTGAATTAATTAGAGAACAGGTATCCAATGCATTTGTTTTCTTAGTAGTTATTATATTGTTATTACTTGTTTTCTTACCATTGTTTCATAATTTTTGTCATCAACACTAATACGTTGTGACTTGTTAACATGCAGGATGGACCAGTTCCCCCCTACTTGATCCAAGGTACGATGAGAAGCACTAGGCTCGAATGATAGAGTAAGGAGAGGTAAACTTCAATTGCCTCCATTTCTGTGAATTCAACAAATGTAATACTTACTGTTTATTCTATTTATTGTGAAGGAGTTGAATGCCTTGAGGCCAATGACACATGAGTACCTTACGACCATGATCTATGACGAGCGCTACATGCCCCTCCTGAAGCGTGCGAAGCTTGCTACCGTTGCTCGTGTCTATCGTCGTGGGGTGCCACCTTTCAACCCAGCGGCGACTGATAGCGATGATTGATAGGACTTGGCCCTTTGACTCAAGTGGCACTTATGGCGTTAACTGACCACACGGAAATGGACCAAGTCTAGGAATGGATTACTTTTGGACTGGGCCTACTTGGGAAGATGACGTATGTGAATCCATTAAAGTAGTGTTAGAAAAGTTATTTATTCATCAATCTTTTGTTGACTACCTAGTTGGGACTGAACAGGCTATTATAAACATGCAGGTGAGTGTGTACTAAAGGATACATGGACAAGGGGAGCAGCCGATGGCAGGAGGAAGAGGGCACCAATTGCTTTCTAGATTTTGAACAATTGGGCTTCTTCTTCTTGGAAGTACCTATAAGTGGGTACAAGTTTTGTATTACTGTTCCATATATGCACCCAATTAGACTTAGAGGACTGATGTCATTTGCACAAATTTGGTAATGACCACTGATTAACTGCTGTAAGGGGGCTACAAGTTTTGTAGTTGTGCCCACTACTTCCATTGGTAAGTTGTAAGCTGAGTATTTTAGTAGTATGTTGGATGGCATGGAATGTTGTATGCAACTCTATGTGTCGTGTGTTGTAAAGGACCTATAATGGAACATCCGTTACGTACTATGTTGTAAATTGTAGTAACTCATGCGTTCAAATGATGTTGATAGTGAGCAAAACCTAACTAAACTTTTTATTTTGTTGACACTACTAGGCTCGGCGTGAGATACATCAACGCTTAACCACATACCTCGGCATTAGGTATATTAACGCCGAGATAAAAGCACATTGCTGGTCCTTACTGAGTAAATGGTGCCCATGGCGCCACCATGCATGGCCTCGGCGTCGTATCACAACACGCCGAGCCGAAGAACTCCGCGTCACACGTAACCACGCCGAGCTGCAGACCTCGGCATTATGTTTTTAACACGGATGTCTAGCACTTAGGCCGATACTTACTAGAATTGTAGAGCTCATGGCGCCAACGCGCCCTACCTCGGCGTGGCGTTATCACACGCCGAACCATGGCGTTCCCCTATGTGATGTTTACAGCCCACGAGCCAAACCTTACCAATGACTAGCCTCGGTGCGCAACAAGTAAGCGCCGACCAATTTATGCTCGGCATGCGTCGACTCAACGCCTAGCTGCGAACTCTAACAAATGAGGCGACTAGGACCTACCCTCGACGCGAAGAGCTAAGCGCTGTCCTTTTTATGGTCGGCATGTGCCGACTCAACGTCGAGCCACCGACCATTTTTTCATCCAATTTGATATTGCTATTGAAAATGTAAGGCTTTGCTTACTTAGCAAAAATAGTAGGTACATGGTCTTCCACTACGATAGGGATTTTTTGGGATTGTTTAAGCAATTCTTGTAATCGTAGACCCCTTGCCAATTGATTCTGATTTGTTTCATGCAGACCAGAGGTGAATTGTTACTTCAAGCTCAACCACCAATGTTCAAATCAAGGATACAATGTACAACATATGTAATGGCATGTGAAAACCTAACATGCCATAGGGAATTCAAACAAACAAATATTACATCGAAAGAAACTATGAGAATTGCAATGGCATGTGACGACCTATGCATGCTGAGGGCGAGGAGGTCGTAGACTAAACGTAACATGCCTTAGGAAATTTAAACTAAACATAGCCTATAGGAAATCACCACTAATAACGACAAACATAGTTTACTCCTAGTAATGCTCCCACATCACAAAAGAGTTGAACCTTCTCCGCAGTATCCTCCAGTACTCGATGTAGGTGGCGGTGGCGGTGAGGGAGGAGAGCCTTTCTTCTTGTGATTAGGGCACTGACAATATGGATCAGTGCAAAGGTTCTCTGCATCATTGCTGTTGTTCTCGCCCTACTTGTCCCTGGTACCGCTCCCAACTTCCCTTTCTAGATCAAAGATGTGTTCGTGAAGGTAGTTGATGTATTGTTGATGGGGATAAATAGGAGCAGGATCTACCCATCTAGTGAAGCCACAGTTCCCCTTACTAATGTAATTCTAAAACAGATCAAAAGTTTTCTATAAGTATTGATAAAACAAGGTAAATATTTCAAAAAAGATATAGGACATAAGTAACTTCTTCTCCTGAAATCTTGCATGGGCCACCTCTGTGGCATGGTCCTCGCTATATCCAATCCCTTCATGTATAAAATATAACCAGTTAGCAACGTGATTATATTATATTTAAAAGCAGACAACGAAAATAACAAGGCTTTCAAACACTCACTGCCACACAATGCAACAACATGGTCGTTCAAGACCTGTATCTGTACTTTTGTCTCCTCCCTTGCGTCCTTCCTTGCCCTCTCCTCCTCTAACGCCTTTTGTCTCTCTAACCCCCATTTATCAAGCCTAACACCGATCGGGTTACAAAAACCGCGCTGTCTAGCAAACTCACGCATGTCATTCTTCCGTTGTTTAACGAAGAGGTCAACGTACTGCGGTCCATATCCCATCTTCCATGCAATTACCTGCCTCCCCTTCAATTCATCCAAGAACTTAGCTTGACCATCATAAGATTTTCACTTGCATTTACTAGTGCTCTGTTCAAACGAAAAATTAGATCATAAGTCTTTGCAAAAGATAAAAAATATGATTTCATGTTTTTCGCAACAATAACCAACCTCATCATAGTCAACCATATTGCCGCACCAATAGCCTATTCTAAGCTCCGAAGGGACTAGACCGTAATTGGCTTTAACACCACATTTGCACATAACATGAGGTGCTTTGAAAATTACCCTTTCTTTCTTCTTTTCCTTTGCCTTTGGCAGCTCCGGCCATTGATTCTTAGGACCGTAGAGCCACTCCTTGAAATAACATTTCGTAAATCCAAAGCGCTAAAAGAGAATAGATTAGTACACGCACACATAGAGATAAATATTTAAACAGATACACTTTTCACTTACTTCGTGCTTGTTGGGACACACGAACTCCAACGTATTCTTAGGGTTTATCACAGCTCGATCTCCACATTCGCACAGAGGAGGTTCCTCGAGTCGTCTAACTACGGCTAGGTGCTTCTCCTTAGCCATGGATGCCTCTCTCGCCACCAATCGTCGAAAAGGAGGTACCTTAAGTCAAACTTGTCTGGATCGTCGATTCACTGGAGACAAAAAAAAAAAGCATCTCTCGTGCAAAACAAGATTCAGCGTGGGCCGTGTGCTTCATAGGCCGAGTCATTTCTGTGTCCCGTGGGCATCATGGGCCAAGTGGCCCAAATGCCAGTGGATAGGAGGTCCCTTCCCCAGTGGCTAACGGCCGAGGCGCCGGCGGGTGCTCCGTGCTCGGAACACGGAAGGAAGCGCGGAGGCCGGGCGCACCACGCCGGCGGTGGCACGGAGGAGAGGCCGAAAGTTGCTGGCTCAAGGTAAGCGGCTACCGCTCCCCTTTTCTCCCCACCCCTTCCCCCCGTGTAGCGCGCGAGAGCAACCTTGTCGAAACTCGCCGCCGCAGCCACAGCCCCACTAGTCCGCATCCTCCGTTTGAATTCACATTATACAGTCCCTCTCCCTGTACATGCACACTCACCGCTTCCTTGCTGCTCACCATGGCTAAATAAGGCTACTACTCCATGACTCCAAGCCAGGACCATTGCCTCTCGACTGAGTCCTACCTAGGTGTTTGATGAAATGCCTGCAGGAGCTTCAAACGGTGTCCAGCTGCATTTTCATCTCAACTAATCACGTAGCCTAACCTGAAATTTCGTCTACGTCTTTCACAGGTACCCCTCCTCTATCATGTCCGGCGAGATGAGGCCACAGCAGCTGGGGGCGACGCGGCGGGCCATCTGGAGGACCTGGCCTGTCCTGTGCTCGCAGTCACAGCACAGGCTTACCTCATCTTTCCACGCCACGAACAAGATCGCCGCCTCCTCTCCGCCACCACCAACTCATCAAAAGAAGAAGAAGAAGGACACGGTCATCGTCATCTCGGGTCCTACTGGTGCTGGAAAGAGCAGGCTGGCGCTGGAGGTGGCCAGGAGGCTTGGAGGGGAGATCATCAGCGCGGACTCTGTGCAAGTCTACCGTGGCCTTGACGTTGGCTCTGCCAAACCGTCCGCGGAGGAGATGAGCCTAGTGCCGCATCACTTGATCGACATACTAGACACGTCCGACGATTACTCGGCTGGAGCCTTCTTCCGCGATGCCCGGAGGGCGACGCAGGATGTTCTTGACAGGGGCTGCGTGCCCGTTGTTACAGGAGGGACTGGGCTGTACCTGAGATGGTACATCTATGGCAAGCCGGAAGTTCCACAGTCATCCATGGACACCACTTTGGCTGTGTGGTCTGAGCTCGCTGATTTTCGGGAGACCGGCCAGTGGGAGGAAGCAGTAGAGCTGGTGGTGCAGGCTGGTGACCCCAAAGCTCGCGACTTGTCTGTCAATAACTGTAACAGATTGAGCCGCAGCCTTGAGATTGTCAGGTCATCAGGCTCCCCTCCTTCTGCCTTCGCCTTACCGTACGATGCATTCTGTGAACAGCATGACACCGACCTAACTGAGGCCCCCTCCACTGCTGGGAGCTGTGAGGCCAGGGAGCTGGATTATGACTTCTTCTGTATTTTCCTCGCAAGTCCACGCATTGAACTGTACCGGTCAATTGATCTGAGGTGTGAGGAAATGCTGGCTGCCACAGGCGGCTTACTTTCGGAAGCCTCATGGCTTCTTGATATTGGTTTGCAGCCACGTATGAACTCTGCAACTAGTGCCATTGGTTACAAGCAAGCCATGGAGTACCTGCTGCACTGTAGGCAGAACGGAGGTGAAAGCACCCCACAAGAGTTCCTTGACTTTCTCGCCAAGTTTCAGAGGACATCTAGGAACTTTGCAAAGAGGCAACTTACCTGGTTCCGCAATGAGAAGATTTACCACTGGGTCGATGGCTTGCAACCATTTGAGGCGCTTGTTCAATTTGTCTGTGATGCTTACCATGGCTGCAGTGCAAGGATGGTCCCTCAATCACTTGAAGTGAAAAGGGAAAGTTGCGTGCACAAAAGCCGTGATCTCAAAACCTATCGCTCGGTGAACAGGGTGTTTCTTGGGGATGATGACTGCTCTCACGTTTTGAATTGGATCAGGAGAACACAGGGTAAATGAAATCTTGCTCTACTCTCTTATCATGTTTTTCCAAACGTGGAAATTGTCTAGCTTTTTGGTGTTGACCAATTAGGACAGGAGTTTCTTAGATCAATACACAAATAACACGGGAATTTAGTTTGTTTTGGTTCTGTTTTCAATCGTAGTGAAAATGCCTTTTCAAAGTGCCACAATGGAATGAGAAGTCAGGTTTCTTCTTTGCCATCTCCTTTTTTTGAACTTTGTGAGAAGCTTGGTTCCTGTTTTCTTGAGGCAGATTTCTTCTTTGGCATCTTCCTCTTTGAGATTGCGTAAATGATAGTAACTGATTTTGTTATTTCTTAATCTTGAAGTGTGATTCATGCTGAATTAAGCTGAGATGTGTTGAGGACCATACTTCCATGTGAACTGTACCATAAACGCTCAGTCTTTGTGATTTTGCAGTAGTGCATTGCAACTATATTTATGTTGTTTGCCAGGGGTATTATTTGCTGTCAACCTATGATGTTGGCTCTCCAGTCTGCCAATGTCTGGTATACTGGTTAAGCAGTCTAAGACAGTACAAGTTTGGTTGTTTGGTCTGTACTGGTTACAGAAGAAATGCAGCGCCAAATTAATCAGGTATATTTTCTTGCACTCCTATCTTTCGCCTGCCAAATGTCATTTGCAACATTTGAACGGAAAGGTTGTTTTCCATCAGCTAGTAGAAGGAACAAGGTTGGTTGAGCCATCAATTTGAGTATGTTTGATAGTTTATACACATAACACTATTGAGAAACCTAACACATTACCAGCCAATTTACCATTTTCCGGCTTGCACGTGATTTAGTGTTCTGATCTGTAGTGGCACAACTAATTAATTAGGTGAAACAACCTTTCTTATATGTACAACATGTAGAAAGTGTGGCCTTTGTATGTGCTGTACATTGGCAACAGATGGTTGTTATGTTTGTAGTACCTTTTTAGAACGTTGCAGTTTTCTGTTTCAAAGGCCGATACACCTTTCCGCATAGCAACGTTGATAACAGTTACTTTTGAATTTATATTTAATTCGAGTCATAGTTTTCTTTGAATCAAAAGTGTACCAGAAGATGCTGTGCAGATAGTCAACTGGACAACCGTGTGTCAGTTGTGAATGGTAAATTGCAGCCGGCTACAGGTTGCTGCGAAGTCTGAAAACTTATTGGATACTGAATAAAATATAATAACAGTGTTTAGCATGAATGGAAGTCAACGGCTCGTACAAAATGATGTATGAAGTCTTTTTTGTCTAGCTCTTTTGTTTTCATATCACTGACTCCATAATGGGCTTCAGCGTCTTTTTTTTTTAATAAAGAAGGAAAAAAAAAACTATTGCTGTGGCTTATGATTGCAGGAATGTGATGAATGGTTTGGTAGATCTGGAATGGCATAAGTTTGACAATGGTGTGCCTGTGGCTGCATCTGCACCTAACTAGTGAAGAAATCTGCCGCTTTCAGTTTTGGTGGAGATAGTGGTAGGGTACCACAATCTTATTCAGTTGTGTAAAAGGCATGTCAGCCATTGGGGTTTAGGGTTGAAATTGCATGCATGAAAGGGACCGTGTCTGAATCATATTCCCCTGAACTGAACTTGATGGTGGAGCCTAGATAGATATTATAGCATGATAAAGCAGTGTGATAGTATAATAATTCCCACAGTTAGTGTGCGAAGTTGCCAACCCAGCCTTGATGGAAAGAAAAGAAAAGGAAAGGAAAGCACAGGAGGTGACTATGCATCTTTTGTTTTGGTTTCAGAAAGGAGGATGGGGATTCAGGATTCTGCATGGTAGTATGGTACTGGAGCAAACGAAGAAAGAAGCACTTTGAGGCAGAAGCATATATATATATATACTCATTTTATTACATGCACATAGTACTAGTTCATTATTGCATCTCCTATACTTTAGTAACAGCTAACAGGGCTGCATGCCTGTATCTGCAATTCTGCGTGCATTATGAGGACAGGTAATGAAGAGAACCTGTCTGTATATACAAAGGAATGAACCTCCCTTCCAGGAAGCTGCTCATATGCATATCCCAATAATTAACCGCATAGACAGTGACACCTTTTTTTTTGTTGCTTCTTTCTTTTTTGTCCCCTTGTTTTCCTACTAGAATAAACCAGAGAACCACAGATGTGTTGTTTGTTGGCAAGGCAAGGGAGTTGGCCATGCATGAACATGCAAGTGGAGGCAGGTAAGTTTGACTGCACCCTGCAGGTAGGAGTTGTGACTTGTGAGGAGGAGGAATTAATCAAAGGGAAGGCAGGCCGCGTGTTATATTTGGTGGTCAAGCTCCCAAGGCAAGAGCGAGTCTTCTGTCTGGGACAGTGCAGCGGTGCATTATATTACCCTTTCATCTGTACTACAATATAATACTGTACTGTACACTTAGTTCGTCAAAGATGGTGCCTAGCTTACCTAACCTGACTTAGTTGTGGTCAGGCTCTTTTTTTCCCCTCTTTGTGAAGTAAAGAGCCGGCAGGAGGTCAGCCCGGCCAGCCGATATATATGTATGTATATATATATGTCGACATGAACTAAAGAGAATAAACAAACACATGCAGTTCATAAAGTGGGCGTCAGATTGATCCCTAGTTTCTAAATATGAAAATACGTAGAATGAGCAAATGGTTTCTCCTTTTTTTTCATTTCCAATTCAGCAGTTGTATTCCTAACCCATAAAAAAAACAATCCATTGAGCTTTTTGGAAACAGTAAACTTTTAAACTTGTCTCGTTATGCCATCCAGGTCCCTAAACTTTTAAAATGAATGTTTATATGTTTAAACTTGTCTTCGTGTGTCATCTAAGTTGCAGGGTTTTTGGATTTGTCTCGCTACGTCATCTAGGTCCTTGAGGTTGTCATAGTGTGTCATCTAGGTCAAATAGACCTGATCTACTTCGCGTCACGATGCCACATGCCATAGTGGTTGGATCTCCACCTTATTCTTGACCGGGGAAGGAACTTAATAGTACGGGCGTGTTTGGTTCACTCTTCACCTCCTAAATCTAGTCTCATTTAGTCACTTTTTACCCAAACATTTTGACTAAATAGAACTAAATGCCTTTTAGCCAACTAATCACTCAAAGATTACTAAGGGGACTAAAAGCAATAGTTCGTCTACCTCATCCGTCTAAAGAGCACTAGCTTTAGCCTTGTCGCCATCACTACTTATGATGACGTGGCTATTGATGTGCAGGATGATGAAGGCATGGGATGGGGATGGCGAGTTGACGTTGTTACTGTGACCCACGCTAGATTGGAATGTGGAGAGAGCTGGAGAGCTTGAAGATGCAGTTAGAAGAGACAAGAAGAGCCGAAGAGGCGGAGAGCATTTATAGGGAGCCGGCTGGTTGGAGCTTAAAAGCTACAATGAAGCAAATTTAAGGACCGCCGGTACATTTTACTTTTTTTTGCAATTCTCTTTGCCATTTTTTAAGTACCAGAGGTATAGATTTACGGACCACTAATCAGAATCCACTCAAGAGTCAAGGTTGACCACAGACAGCGCGGCGGCGAAGGCAGGAGGCGCGGTGGGGTGGTGGGGTCGGGCCGTCGGTGGAACAAAGTGTAAGCACTATAACCACGTGGCTATTATATAATAAGCTCAGGATTTCAGGAACCGCGCGTACTATGGTATGGAAGGGCTGGTTTAGATTGCAAGTTTTTTCACTTTCTCTCCATCACATTAAATTTTTGGACACATGTATGGAGTATTAAATGTAGATATAAAAATAACTAATTATACTGGTTTGATTGTAAATTACGAGGCGAATCTTTTGGCTGGTTAAGTAGCCATAATTGAACAATAATTATCAATCTGAAATAAAAATCTTTCACGAGTCTTTAAATACTAATTCCTAACCCAATCTAACCAAGGCGGAAGAAATGAGAAACAAAAGAGAGAGAGAAGGAGCGAATGGAGGCTTTGCTTGGTCGCCTTCTTCCAAGCCTTGCTTTTCCTTCCAAAAAAATTCCATTTCATTTCGGCTCCCCTCCTACACAAGAAAAGGCGCGCCTTTTCTCGTCTCCTCCTTCCACCGACGGCGACGCCTCACCTGCACCCAACCTTCATCCTCCTTCTCCTTCTCCTCCTCCACGCGGATTTTCCCATCCCAAAATCTCGCTCTGCTCAGCTCTGCTCTGCTCTGCGCGCCGAGATCTGCCTGCCCACCATCCAGCGCCGCCCCGCTCTGACTTAGTCGCGAGTCGCCATGGGGATCTCTCACCCTCTCTCCGACGAGTACGACGCCCTCCGCGGCGCCGTCCTCTCGCCGCAGACGACGCCTCCCTCGTCGCCGCTCGCCCACCGCCACCTCCTGGAGCACGAGGTTACTCGGATGGACACGCTCGCCGGCATCGCCATCAAGTACGGCGTCGAGGTATTCATCATTCATTCATCCACCGATTAGTCGCCTCCCCTTTCTATTTTATTTTTTTTCATGATGGCTTTGGTTGCTGGTGGTGGTGGGTAAAAGCCTCTATACCCCGCTCGCGAGATGGAAGAGGTCTCGTGCTGTTCACCAAAACTTCAACTTTTCTTCATTTCTTTCTACACGCAAAGGAAGGGAATGATATCTCAAAAGAATCTCCGTTCCTCTGCTTCGTCTTCGTCTACTGGCAAGATCCAAAAAAACTTTACCGTGTTTGTAATGCTCATAGCTGACCTTCAGAGTGATGAATGATCTTCGCGTCATCTGTTTTAGTTTCTTATAAATCCGTAGTAAACGTAACGTTGACACCTGTTATATTACGTCAACAACTGATTTTTTTTTCCAGGGACTTGGTATTAACAGCGACACCAAGGGCTAAGCATTTACCTTTTATAGATTCTTTTATTTACAGCTTCTTTACTTCGCTTCTAAAATCCTGGTTTTTTCGGTACACTACACGTCTCTTTTTGTGAATTTAACATTATGAGCCTTTGAGTTGCTGTCTTATAGATCTACTACTTCTTTTATTACTTGTAGATATCTGACATTAAGAGGGCAAACAGTTTGGTCACTGACAGCCAGATGTTTGCACACAAAACGTTGCTCATACCTCTTCCAGGAATGCCCATGCCATCCTCTGTCAAACTGAATAGTTCTGGTCAAAGAACGAAAAGGTACATCTCCCCTCCCTCGTGTGTTTTTCCTACTCCATCTTCTACACCATGCCCAGAACCTCTTAATTAATTTAAATTTTGCTACTAGTTTTGAATTAGTTGCAGAGAAAGCATAACGTTTTTCCCCCCTTAGAACTCAGTGTTGACACTCAACTGTCTATTACCATATACTCAGCTTGCTCCCGGTTTATCTGCCATTGCTTAAGCTCCACCGATATCATTACAACTGCATTTTGAATCATTGTCAGTAGATGAAACATAAATACATATAATCCTCTGCAAAGACAAACATAAATGTGAAAAATCTTTGTGGTGACATCTTTATGAAAATTTTCAGTTGACAAGTGATACACTTGTGCACTTTGAACTTAACTTTTTGTGGTTTCTGCAGAGCACGGCCTCCAAACCATCGTCAAAACAGAGATGCTCTTGATTCACTAGATTCATCCAAGTCTGGTCAGCAGGGGCGTCACCTGCAATGAGCACCCTGCAGAGATACTATGGCCTGACATCTCAGAAAGGAAATACCATGGATCTCAGCACTGAAATGTCTACGTACCATAAGGGCGGCGGCTTCCATATTAACCTCAGCGAAACATTGCTCAATCCTTCCACAGCCCCAGGCACGAAGGGTATCGACAGAAATTGGGATTTTGATGCCCCAGCTAATGGCTTTTCAGCAACGAACGCTGCCAACGGGGCCAATGGCAATGGGGCACCCAAACCAAAACAAGACAGTTCGGTGCGGCGGCGACAGAAAGTGGAAGCGGAGCCTAACAGAGCGGACGCCCAGGATGATTTTCTAGCAGATCCAATTAAGGCGATCAAGAGTCTGTTGCCACGGCCGATTTCCAGCATCCGTCTAAACATGGATACATGCAACCCAGATTCCAGCCAGAAGAGCAGCATGTCGTTTCTTAGCGGGTTCAAATCTGTGACTGTGAGGAAGTCGCCAAGCGCACCGAACTTTGCAGATGCAGAGAATGGGGTCTCTATGTGGTCAAGTTCGAAGTGGACCTTCAACCATGACTCCTTCACCCGACCGTTACTTGATGGCCTGCCCAAACCAGCGTCAGCTCGGAGGACCAAAACTGCGTTGGACTGAACTGAATGAAAGTCAGTAGAGTACTGCGTACAGGTTTGGGTGCCATGGTTGCTTGCTACACTGATCCAGCTTTGATGAATGATAATGATGAAGCGTGCCGCGACTAGTGGATAATGGGTGGCAATGGAAGAGGTGACTTGGCAGAGCATATGCTGGAACCGTGCCAGGGCGATGGTTACAATTCAGATCACGGTGTAAAAGTGTACATCACACTACTCAACCGTCAGTGCCAGGGAAGCGACGGCTTAGCTCCAGTATATGATCCATCCATCATTTTATTTATTTATTTTTCTTTTACCTTGCTCTGTCTGTAGCCCTGGTGTTTGCACAATCAGTTGACTTGTACTCCTACAAAACAGTAGGTACGCAGCAATACAATGGAGCCTAGCTAGATGTATTGTATACAGCATGCATGCATGTGTTGATGGAATGAATGTATCCCATCCCAGGCAGAGCTACACATTAATTAATACATAAGAGATATTTTTGCTTTTCATCAGTACGTTTGCTGTGTGATGGAGTGGATTTGGTTTCAGTTAGTCTCTGAATCAAATGAATGTTTTTCACTGATTTTCGTTATTATTGTACCATATGCCATGTCTGGTGAATGTGGACTTATATATGGCACGGTGCAGTAACATTGATGGTAGCACGGTGCTGATCTGATTGCAACGATCGACTATACCTGGTCATTTATTCTCTCTCTCTCTCTCTCTCTCTCTCTCTCTCTCTCTCTCTCTCTCTCTCTCTCTCTCTCTCTCTCTCTCTATATATATATATATATATATATATATATATATATATATATATATATATTTGTTCATTCACACGGCCGGGAATTGAGTTATTTGCAGGATATTTGTTAATTTTAACCATCTGGCAAACGTCGGTGGGTATTATATTATATTAATACACTCCAATATAAGAGAAACTAACAGAATTAAAAAAAAAACTCTCTTGTATATGTGTATATATACAAAAGATATAGAGAGGACGAAACGAAAATAAAGTAAAAGCAATCTGCGCAGCAACGATGACAACCATGGTGACAGCAGCCTTCCTCCTCGTCGCCATCGTGGTCCTCTCAGGCGGCGCCTCTACGTCTAGGACGGCGGCGGCGAGGCGGCATCATCACCACTACACCGACGACTACGAGGCGGTGTTCGAGCGGCAGGAGGCTGACCGTGTGGAGGCCCTTCCGGGGCAGCCGTCGGAGGTGGGGTTCCGGCACTTCTCCGGGTACGTAACGGTGAACCAGACGCACGGCCGCGCGCTCTTCTACTGGTTCCTGGAGGCCACCCACAACGTGCAAAAGAAACCGGTGGTGCTGTGGCTCAACGGCGGGCCCGGCTGCTCGTCGCTGGGCACCGGTGCAATCCAGGAGCTGGGACCCTTCCTGATCCAAAACCCTGGAACAAATCGCCATGAGCTCCGGCTCAACCCTGAATCATGGAACAGAGAGGCGAATCTGCTCTTCTTGGAATCCCCTGCCGGTGTTGGCTTCTCTTACACCAACACCACCTCGGATCTCCAAGAGTTTGGCGACGAGCTCACCGCCCATGACGCCTACACCTTCCTGGTGGAGTGGTTCAAGAGGTTCCCGCAGTTCAAGGGCCATGATTTCTACATCACCGGGGAGAGCTACGCAGGTAGTATACTAGTCCTCTAATCTATCTGGTTTCCATTGCTTTTGCTAGACTGCACACAATAATCTTAATCTGCATGCACAATACAATGTGTTTAATTTGTACGTGCAGGACACTACGTGCCCCAGCTCGCCGAGAAGATCTTGGAGATGAACAGGAAGGTCCACAAGAGCCGCCACATCTACCTCAGGGGATTCATGATCGGGAACGCCGCGATCGACGACGCCTCTGACGACCCCGGCATGGTGGAGTACGCCTGGGACCACGCCGTCATCTCCGACGAGCTCCACTCCGCCATCGCCACGTACTGCGACTTCTCCAGGAACGACGCCGCTAGCGACTTCTCCAGCGACGCCGCGGCCAGCCAGCAGAGCGACGCCTGCGACCAAGCCATGGACGCCTTCTACGAAGCCTTCAACGACATCGACATCTACAGCCTCTACACCCCCGTCTGCACCAACTCGTCGTCGTCGTCGTCGTTCTCCCGCAGGGCCGAAGGGCGGCCGCCATGGCCAAGAACAAGCGTCGCCGCCGCCGCCGGCGGTACGTGTACGGCGACTACGACCCGTGCCTGGACCAGTACGCCATCTCCTACCTGAACCGCGGTGACGTGCAGAGGGCGCTGCACGCCAACGTGACGGGCAGCATCCCCTACAGCTGGGCGCCCTGCAGCGACGCGCTGTTCCAGCAATGGCAGGACTCGCCGGCGTCCACCTTGCCGGCGATCCGGAGGCTGGCCGACGCAGGGCTCCGCGTGTGGGTGTACAGCGGCGACACGGACGCACGCGTGCCCGTCACGTCCACACGCTACGCGCTGCGAAAGCTCGGGCTCGCCACCGTGGAGCCCTGGAGGGAGTGGTTCACCAGCGACCAGGTCGGCGGCTACACCGTCGCCTACCACAGCCTCACCTTCGTCACCGTCCGCGGCGCCGGCCACATGGTGCCCACCGTCAAGCCCGTCCAGGCGCGCCAACTGCTCGCGCATTTCCTCGCCGGCAAGGACATGCCTCGCACGCCGCCGGCCATCCTCTCTGAGGATGATTCGTAGCGTAACAGACGTCCGATCGATCGAGTCGATTTGTTACAGTTATATACATTTATTTAGAGCACGTACGTACGGTTCTATAACATGCAATGCATGTATGCAAAACGTGACCGTGCGCCTCTGGTTACAACGAAAACATACATCTTGTTCCGATCCAAAAAAAAAAAAACATACATCTTGTTGCGCTTTCACTTAAACGACTTACGACCTCGAGATTTATGTAACGGTCATGTCATCTATTTCATAATAAACTATATTTCAAGATGAGTCCACTTACATTACTTTTATATTTTCAAACTCGACCCGAAAAAATTTATTTGTAGTCAAAGTTTAAACAGCCTGTTCGGTTGGCTGGTTCGTATCGTTGCTGGTTCGTGAAGAAGTACTGCTGGCTGATTTGTATGAGAGAAAAATAATGTTTCGACTGAAAATTTACGATCGTTTACGACAAGCCATAGCCAAACGAAGAGACTTTACTTGGCTTAAGACAACCTCAAAATGACTTTCTTCACGAGCATGGAGGAAGTACAAGTATATACGTACACATGTACCTATGGTCAATCAGACAACACTTTGAGTTTGATGTTTGGATTCAACACATAGGCTGCACCTCTGGCTGTATTTGGTGTTAGCTCATCTAGAGCATCTAGAAAGGCATCAGAGAAGAGGACGGTGAAAAATCTAAATAGAATATTATATTATTTTTAGTTTAGATTTTTTTGTGCGTAATTTGAAGATGTATTTTGTTGAATTTTGATATAATTTTTCGTTTCCCTTAAAAAAGAAGCACACCGGGGTCATGAGCACAGATAAACAAAAGCACACATGTTTGTTTAGGCGGTTAGCGCTACCGTGCGGTGCCGTGCAATGCAAGGGCAATGCGATCGGGGACGGCGACGATGTCCAGGAGCCAACCACATGTCAAAAAAAATCAAAAAGCAACCGACCAACTTATAAATAAACTAGAAGCATACATCGCGCCTTACCGCGGGAATTGCAGATTAGTGGATTGTGTGGTATGATGATGTGGACAATAAAATACTTATGTGTCTGATTAACATGGACACAACAGTTGCATGTGCTAGTGAATTTTAATCGTATGTGATAGTGTATTTCCTAGTTAGACAACTTACATATTCAGATAAATAGCTCGTGAGGTTTTACTTTAATATAAGATATGGAAATGTATACATCTTTATATGTATGGTTGGAAGACGCATATACATACATATGGTGCCACGTTGCCACTTCTTACGTCACGTGCAGGTACGCGTAGCCGCCCCCACAAGCCACAAAGCAAAACGCGGCAAATCCAGCTGGCCGGCGGCCGGCGCCGTCGCTCCCCGATTTAATTTCCGCGTCCGTATACCGTATACCAAACGTTTTCAGTCGCCCCCTTCATTTTCTCAGGATTTCATACAAACATACTGCAGACTTATTACCTATGGGCTGTTTGCCTGTTTGGCAGCAATCCTTAGAGCAATTTCTCCTTGAGAATCACTTTTCCTCATCTAAATAGTAAAATTCAGACGAGACTCACTTTTCAGTTTATAATAATGACAGATGGAAACTAAAAAAAACGTTTTTCACCTCCATATGTAATTCCCATTAAGAATCACTTTCCAAGTGCTATCCACCCTACTCCAATTCTCTACCTCCATAAGAGAATTACGGAATAAAGCTCTATCAAACAAACTCTTATAATTTTCACCGCAACCACTAGGACTCAAATGTTTACTGTCTAGTGTCACTCCCATCTATGGAACGGCAAGCTTCCAAACAAACATAGAATTTCAATTTCTCCTTAATCACCACAAGTTCAAGTCCAAATTTGCTTCATTCAATCACCAAGGCCTACGAGCTAAGGGCACTACTAGCTGTTTGGTTCCCGTGCTTTGCTTGCCTCGATTTCTGCGCCGCCAAGGAAAACCTCTCTGCCTTGAGAGGGCCAAAATAGCTTGCCCAGTCTGGCAAGTGTCTCGTGGCGCCCGGGCGTCTAGGCGAGGCAAGGTGAGCCTAACTGTCGGAACGGCACCACGGATCCATTGGAGGTGGGGGCGGATGGATGCGAGCTCAACGGCGGCGGAGATGCGGAAGCAGGAAACCTAAGCGTTGGCGGCGGCGGCGTGGCTGCGGAGGTAAGGATGCAGGCGCTCGTATGAAACACGGAGGGCTAACCCTTTGGTTTTATAGGGGCGACGGGTGCGAGGAAACCAACCGCCCGCCTACATCTCCGCGCCTGCCACGACCTGTCACCACATCTCGTCGCGGGGCGTGCGCACGCAACCTATGGCCGTCCCCTTGGAAAACAGGCCGGACATTTTGCCTCCCTGAATGGGCCACGACCCGTCACAGGTAAGAGGGATACAGAGCTGAAAACGCTCCTACGACCCGTCTAGGCCTAGGAGTTCGAAGGTTGACCCACCGACGAGTTCGACAACCACTCTGGGCACCTTTAGAGTGAGGGGTGGAAAGGGATGGGCCTGCTAGCAGCCAGTACCCGGGCGCATGAGCGTCGTGGGCATCCCGGCCCATGTTCGAGTCTCGGCCAGATATGATCTATGGTTTTTCCTCGAAGAAAGACAGAGAGCCCTTGGGACCGGTCGAACGGGTCCGTGAAATATATGGATTGATCACTGAGAATCTGGAGTCGGTCACCAAGCTGACCCAAGCCGGCCCCCCGCGAATGGGATGCCGGGGCCCCACTCGGACTAGCCCGTTAACAGCTCACCGAGCACCATGATTCATCCATAGAGAAAAATCAAAGCACGGCTCAGCTCGTCCGTTTTTATAAAAAAACGCTTGAGGGAAGACGATCGCGAAGACGATCGCAAAGACGAGCCGATCCTCGATCGGACCCCTGCTATGGGCGGGGGCTCGAGAAAAGTTGGACTCGTAAGGAGACCGAACGTGCGGTCGCAGAACGACAGACCCCCGTAGGGGTCGGAATCCGGAAAGACCTTTTTCGACCCACTAAATCTCACGGCTATACCCCCGAGGGGTCCGATCACGATGAAAGGGAATCGCCGTCCCTAGGACACACCGTGGGCGACAAAAGAAGGCCAAGGCCCTCAGAGTCCTCCCGTTCGGAAAACCCTCCGAAGGAGTATTCTACTCCTCCGCATGCTCGGGGGCTACTGTCGAAGACCAATACTAGGGTACCCGAAGAGGAGGAGCTAATGGCCATCAACATTGATTCATCCGAGCAGTCAAAAGCGCGACTATAACTCCAACCGACCATAGATGCGTGGGCTCCGCCTCGCCCGACCCCAAGGTCGCGGGCTCCGTCTCGCCTGACCTCAAGGTCGTGGGCTCCGTCTCGTCCGACCCTTTGGGTGCGGGCTCCGTGTCGCCTGATGGGGTCCCATACCGCCGCCAACCACTCCAGGGCCAGGCGTATGGGCCTGGATCAAAATCCTGACACCAGGGAAGAGACTAGCACGACTCGATGTAACCCGTGGCCAAGACGGGCCATATCTGAGGATTCACATCAAAAACAGCGTCGGGCATACCGGTGTTGTTCTACCTAACCCTCGTACGAACGCTGACAGGCGCGTCTGTTCACCACAACGTCCTCTAGGACGAAATGGAGCGCCATGACCGGCAGATGACGCCTGTGCATGGCTCCAGTGACGGACAGGGCCACGACGTGGAGCCGCCCCTGTTGACATCTACAGGGTCGGCGGGGCCCGCATGAAGGAGAAGAAAGACCCGGTGGTCCTGGAAGCCTTCCTCTCTCTCGTTCTTCTCCTTTTCCTCCGCTGTAACCCGCGCTTTGCCTTAGCCTATAAAAGGAAAAGCAGGGCGCCCCATGAAAAGGGGGGCCCGATCAAGCCAGATCCGCACGAGATCAGAACACGAGATAAACACACAAGAATACGACACGAACACACGGCTGAGCAGCGATCGAGCTCTTAGCACCCGTTCACTCCTTCCACCAGAGACTTGGGATCATTTTCCTCTCGCATGTTTGTACCCCATACTACAAACTTTTAGTGCTAGTAACACGAGCAGCAACGACGAACTGGACGTAGGGACTTTCTGTCCGAACCAGTATAAATCTCGTGTCTTCTAAGCACACCATCCGATCCAAACGCACAATACTAGAAATTTACTCGTCGGTGGTAACTCGAAACACCGACACTAGCTAAGCAAATCTTCCGAGCACGCCCTAAGTCTTCACAACTCAGGATGGACGTTCGGTTCTCGGTTCGGTTTCTTTTTCGGTTCTCTTGGTTATTGATGAAATTCGGTTCCTAAAAACGGGAACCGATCGGTTCCAAAAAATTTTAGAAACCGAACATTTCGGTTCTCGGTTATTTCGGTTCGGTTCCGGTTCTAACCGATTTTTTCAGAAGACCTAAAGACAACAATAAATATGTGTTCTAAGGCAAATTTATGCAACACTGTGTTCATTTTTAATAATAATAATGTATAAGAAAATAATAGCAATATAGTAACACAAATATATAGCAGTTCAAATATAAAACACTACACATAAACCAAACATAATCCTACAAAATACAAGTAAGTAAAGTATAATTCATGTAATTCGGTTCTTTCGGTTAATTCGATTAACCAAGAGTAGGAACCGAATTTTCTTCGGTTATTTTGGTTCCTCAATATCAGGAACCAAATAAGGAACCGAATTTTTCGGTTTCGGTTCTTTCGGTTTCGGTTCCGATTCTTTCGGTTCGGTTTTCAGTTCTCGGTTAAATTTGCCCAGGGCTATTCACAACCACTGAGAGTTTGATTGGTTGTCCGTATTATTAGGCCGTGTATCTAGACTTTTTGGCACATTGTGTTTTGTCATCAGGTACGCCAGCTATCTTGAGCACAACGATCACATGTTGCCGATGAGTGCGTATATATGTGTTATGTGGTGTGGAGATATGTATAAGATGGTAATAACATGAACCGAAGAAGACAAAAAAAAAAGGGATTAATATTAACCACACACGAAAGACTCGTGGTGACGTTGAAGCTCAAGCTAGCGTGTGGTGTGCAATGACAACACATGCGCAACAAGTAGCTAGATAGTAGCTTCAACGGCCTCCGCTGTCCATATATATTATATATGTATCTATCACTGGATGACTGGCCTTTAGCAGCAAGCCAACACATGGCACCTGACAGTTGACAGACACCAAGCAACAACGAGGGAAAGGGAAACCTGAAGAAGATCTTCTGGAAGAGGAGAGAGCTGGGCTGCTGACGAAAACGCAGTAAAGCAAGGGGGGTGTGTGGTGTGAACCCAAAATGGCGCGACACGACATCCCTGGGAAGTTTCCTTTCTCCTTCCTTGCTTCTCCAACTCGTTTTCCTTGGCCTTGCCTTGTTGCTGCTCTCCTCTCCTCTGTCTTCTTCTATTCCTCTTCTATAAATAAAAGGGCTCCGGCCGCTAGATTCGGTGCAGAGGGCAGGCAGACATCATCAAGTGGTGTGCAATTCAGCCAGAGGGGCAGCCGGCCGCTGGAACTGCGAAGCCGTCACAGGCTCAGGCTGTGTGTGCCACTCGATCCAACACCAATCAATCCATCCAGTCCCTCCAGAGGTTCGGAAGGGCCATGGCCGCCGCTAGGATCGCCGCCTGCACCGCCTCCTCCCGCACCGCCTTCGCGTTCGCCTTGGCGGACGAGCCCGCGCCGCCGGAGACGCTGGACGTGGTGCGCCGGCAGCGCCAGCTCCTGCGCCGCGCCGCCGCGCTCTGCCTCGACCCCATCGCCGAGGAGACAGACGGCGGCGTCGACTCTGCCCCTTCCGACGTCCCCTCTTTCGGCGGCCAGAGCCAGAGCCCGAGCCAGACCACCACCTCCGCACTGCCGGCGCGGCCCTGAGGATCTGAACTGAACCCTCTCAAGAGTCAAGACAAGACCTTTCCTTTCTTTTGGGATCCTCAACCTCAAGACGAAGCAGTGTACTAAAATTGAGCATGATGCCCAGAATTGCAGTACACGTATGACATGTGTCGATCGGGATGGATTAGTAGTAGCTTAGGACAAGGACGGCGAGCGAGTTCCTTTTAGTAGATGTAGATGCAAAGGACGGAGCTTCATTTTTGCCTCTTTGTTAACTGTTCTATTATTTACAGGTGTTGTTCATCATCTTGTAAATTATTAAATGTTCATAATTACCAAGCTATAATATTGGAGCTATAATAGAAAAAAGGTTGCCCATGTAATGTATTGTGTCAGATTTCTTTTCCACTTACAAGTATTTGCCTCTGCTATGTCTATGCATGTTCAGTTAATTGGCTACTAATCGCATTTGTTCTTGCACGAGAGTATACTTTAATCAATCATTAGCCACCTCGCCGCCGTAAAACACTCAGAGATGAGAGATGAGACGAGATGCCGTTTTTCCAGCGCCGAAGGCGGCTTCGGATGAATCCGCTTGCCGTGGCCCGTCTTCGTCTTCGTCTCGTCCCAGCCCAGGCACGCGAACGCGACCCCGAAATCCCCCCGAATCGAACTTTGCTCCGACCCCGGCTCCGATCTTCTCCCATCTTCCCATCTCGGTCTCCTCCCCCAATCAGCAATCATCCCCAGCTCAAACTTCTAACCCCGCCCAAAACCCTACACCGGAGGAGGGATGGTCAAGAAGGCCTCAACCACCGCGCCCGCAGACGCCGAGGCCGACGAGCGCCGCCGCCTCCGCTCGCTCGCCTTCTCCAACGGCCTGCTCCATCGAGGCGACCGGGCAGCACCGCGGGCGCCGCTCGCGCCGTCGGGTGCCGTCACGCGCCTGCAGGGCCGCGACGTCGTGCGCCGGGGCGGCCAGCGGAAGAGCCGCTACCTCTTCTCCTTCCCTGGCCTCCTCGCGCCAGCAGCCTCGGGCGGCCGGATCGGGGAGCTCGCCGACCTCGGCACCAAGAACCCCGTGCTGTACCTCGAGTTCCCACAGGTAACGGATCGGGTCGGGTTGGGTCGGGACTCGCCAAGCTTCCACCTTTCCAGTTCGGGGATTCAGGCCACCTGACATGACCTGGAAATGTGATGAACATGTGAATCTTTTTCCCTTTCCGAGGAGGATGAGTGGTGGTTGCATTGCACCTGCAGGGAAGGATGAAGCTCTTCGGGACGCACGTTTACCCCAAGAACAAGTACCTCACGCTGCAGATGACCAGGTCAGCCAAGGGCGTCGTCTGTGAGGACGTCTTCGAGAGCCTGGTCAGTGTTGTCTGCGTTACTTCAGCTCTCAGTTATGTGCAATTGCTCATTTCACGATCATCTTCAATTGCTGGATGCAGCTGTGCAAAACTCGCATCTTTTTACTGCCTAGATTGGATTTACATGTATAATTGTCAATTAATGCAATTCCTATGCTGCCAAATTCGCTTCAAGCCACTGAAATCTCACCAGATATGCTACCTGGTCATCGGAAATGCAGATTGTGTTTTCTGAAGCCTGCTGGGTTGGAACAAAGGAAGATAATCCGGAAGAGCTCAAGCTTGAGTTTCCAAAAGAATTCCAAAATGTTTGTGCTCTTTTCAAACCAGCCCATTTGTTGTCTTCTGCTTTCAGTTCTCTATGCGCCTATCATATATGCCTCTCCATTTTCAACTGATAGGATGGCACAGCAGCAGACTGTGATTTCAGAGGTGGTGCAGGTGCTGCCATCGATGAAGCAACTGGAAGCAAAGCTGGAAAGGAAATCGCAGAACCTCGTTCCCTGAAGTTTGCATCTGATGATGATGATGCTTCTGAGGGTTCAGATCATAAGGATGAGAATAACACACAGACTATGAGTGGAACACCAGTTAGACAGTCTGCTAGGAATGCAGGGAAAACCTTGAAAAGGTAAGACCCTTACACTCTCTTTGGCTGCTGACAGCTTCGTACGTTAATTGGTTTACTCATTGGCCTGTGAAGTCAAGTAATTAACAAACTCCTCCTTGCTGTCTTTATAGGTACACAGACTTATCTTCTGGAGGTGATTCATCTGACAATGATGATGAAACTGCTGAGGTACCTGAGGACTTGGATGATACCATCTGAAATTTTACTTTTCTATATATAGGTTCAAGATTTTTAATGTCAAAATTTTGTCACACTGCGGCTTATTTTGCTTGCTATGCATAAAGGAGATGGAGAGTCCAGAAGTTAAGGATGAGAGTGAAAACGAAGACATCAAACCTGCAGATTCTTCAACAGTGCGCCTCTCTAGTAAGAAGGAGCCTCTTGTTCAGGCTACTTTGTCTAGCATGTTCAAAAAGGCAGAAGAAAAAAAGGTGAGAGTGCGAAACCACCTAGATATGCATTCTTGCGAGGGAAGATTCACACTAGAGTTATTCATAGTTTCCCCGCTATCTATCACTAACAGACAACCAGTATGTCCATAGCTTTTTTTTAATAACTATATGTCCATAGCTTTAACCAAACTCGATTGCACTGAAGCAACACCACATTCTACAAGGATGTTTCCATGTTAAATGTGTCTATTTACATTTGTTGTCAAGAAATTGAACTCATTATCACATACTTATTCCTGTTTCAGAGATCTATAAAGAGTCCTAAAGGGTCCCCTGCAACCAAAGGTTCTGTGTTTTATCACCTCTCTATGTTCCTTATCGATAAATGCATTCTGAAAGGAAGCTTTTTTTAAAACTAAATTTGTAATTGCCACTTATCTTTAGGTGCTGCTGCTAAGAAGCAGCGAGCAAGTCCAATGGCAAAACAGCCAGCAGGGATCAAGAAGGGTAGGTTCACTGTTGTGACAAGCATCTTCTGTAGTAGACATCTACTGACATTAGTGTGCTAGCATTTGATGTAAGCATCCAAAGGCATTTTCTCAGTTTCACTTGGGAAGATGTGTGCTAGTACAAGTGAAGACCTCTAGGGTTGTCGCGAGATAAGCTTTCAGTTTGATATATATAGGCTGGGGACACTAACCAGTGTGTTTTCTGAATGCAGCTAGCGGAACACGGGGAAAGAAGAAACCAAAGGTACCATTTAATGGAATTCTATGTTGCTTGCCCTTGGTAGATGAATTTCAAGTGTTGGTCATTGTTTGCTTTCTCTATATAATATAAATGCATATTTGATTGAGGACCTTTGGCCATTTCATTGTGTTACAGGTGGAAGAAGATGAAATCAAAGAGCTCTCAAGTTCCTCCCAGGTTTATTGCTAGCTTGCATCAGCTGAACTGAAATTTGCATCATGTTATTTGTTACATGTAGCATTTTAGCAGCGAGTTTCCTTACAAGAAACTGTGTATTTCACTACATCACGTATACCTAATATTTTGAGCACAAAGGCTATGCATACTTACCTATGTAATTACAAATGGTACAGGATAATGCCGCAGATGATGATAGTGACGAGGACTGGGCCGAGTAATGCCCTTGTAGATGAATCACATCTCATGCATGGCAGCATGGGTACAGAAGGATGGGTTGGCAAAGAATGCGTAATTGATGTGCAGTTGAACAGAAGGATGGATTGGGAGGATGGCACAGAAGCTGCTGTTTTCATCGACTGATTGGTGTCTGATGACTGATATAGAATGTGGATACCCGATACCCTGATCTGTCGTCAAGCTGAGTTTATGAAACGTTTGATTACATTAGTTAGTCAGTGTCTGACTTGTTTGTAGTCGGAACACACACATACACGACCAATTCGAGGTGGTGATGGGGTTGCACACCTGAACTAGCCATTCTCATTCATCTGTCTGTACACTGTTCTTTTGTGTGGCTGATTGATTCAGTGGCAAGAACACGAGAGATTAATTGTTTTTTTAAGGGTACATGAAAGATTAATGAATATGAAGCTGATGGATTAGGCAAATTACCATGACAATACTCGTAACATGTTTGTGGCGAGTCACTTTAGTTGCACTGCATTAGTTGAAGTCGCTGAAAAGAGGACGCGAAAGCAAATATTCGAGAACAGTTTATTTTTGCAAGGGTAAATCTGGAGATAAGACCAGAATAAGGCAAACACCAATTCAAACTCCGTTTCAATGTTAATCAACTACTTTAGTATGTCACAAATAATTGACAGACAATTGACACGTTCTGGACAAGACCTGTAAAAAAAATTGAACTTTGATTATAGTCAAAACTTTAGAACTTCTTTTGAAAATGAATTATAAACTATAAATAATTTAACGTGAAACGTAAGAAATAAAGTCAAATATGTCTGGAAAACCACTTCTAGTATTTTTCAAACTTTAACATATCCATAATTATATTCTGATAGAACATGGTCAATAGCAGCTCAAACAGTACAAAAATGAAAAACGACAGTATTCTTGACCAGAGATAAGTGTACAGAGGGGGCAATAAAACAGAATCAGGTAAGCACACATGGTGCAAAGAGTATTTGCACAGCACAACACTGATTTCACTAGTTCACAATCGGTAAAGCAACAAAAGATGTTGATACAATAATTGCCGTTGCCGATCCGCTGGTAGCAACACTTAAATAAAGATTTTTCTCAATCACGTAAAGATTTGCGCGTTTTTGTATTAAGTAGAAGAATAGTTTGTTACATCTCGGGTGGTTTACAAGATTAACACTGAGCGCACCCACCCTGCTCAGCTTCTTCTCTAACCTATTACTCGCTGAATAAAACAACCTAGGTGCTTCGCACCGGCCTGGACCCATAGCTCTACCTGAAGTTTGATGGTTGCCTTGATCGCCGGAATCGTGTGGCTGCTCATGAAACAACGCGCATTACGTTCTTTCTAGATTTCCCAAGCGATTATTAGCGAACATGGAGTCTGCGCCTCTTTGCAAATGACGCCGGCCAAAGAGCTCTCGTTCCGCCACCGGTCGACAATGGCGCCGGCTGGTTGTTTCTCGGTCAGAGTTGCCCCCAAGCGCCGTGGCTGCCTCGAACCACAACCGCTCTGCGAAGAACATTCGACGATGATGTGATCAATGGTTCCGGTTCGATCGCACAGAAGCAGGTGTCGTGTGCATCGAGCCCATGCTTCCGTCGTCATCCGCTATCCATTGTCGGCGGCGAACCGCCACCAGAAAATTGCCTTTGACCTTGAGCGGCGCCCACCTCCCAAATCCGCGACGCAGCCCGGAATGGGGTGAGAACCGAGATGTAATGTCCGATAAGCCGATCGGACCGAGAAGCTTCGCCGACTCTCCCATCGCCAGACGAGGCGGTCCGGTAAGCGTCCGTGAGGACGATGTCTCAATCGCGCGTGCCGGACACTAAGTATTCCGCTGCTTGGCGCGTTACTCGGCCGGATATGGTGCGCACTCAATGCCTGCCTCGTGAGTGCTTCCGCCACCGTTAGCTTTCAGATGACTGCTTTGGGACAAAGTGCATCAAGGTGGGCGCCATTGCTCTGATTGACACCCCATGAACCCAGCTGTCTTGCCATAACAGAGTATTCCGGCCATTGTCGATGATTGTGTAAGTTGATGCTTGGAAGAAGGACTCGCTTCATTAGATTGCAGCGATGTCCAAGCGGCCCCATCGGCGCTGCCTTTCTAAAGCCATCGGCGTCGATCTTCTAAAGCCACACAGCCACTTTGCTTCGAATGCCATTGCCTAGAGTTTCATGTCCGTGATTCCCGCACCCCGAGCTTTTTTTGGCCGTGTGCATGTCTTCCGTGCCACCATGCATTTACCCTCGACATCGCCACTATTTCGGTCCATGATAGGAATCGCCTCTGATTGAGTCGATCTCTGCGCCGTGCCCATGGAGGCGCACTCCATCGCCTATCATGCAAGAGACGGATTATTGCGTCAAGACCGATTTTACCCATATCGACCTCCCACTTCGCCATGAGGGGGCGTGGCATGCAGTGATCTCCATGAGACGGCGTCCACCGCCTTCCGGACGTGTTCTTTGGGCGGCTTGGTTGTGCTTAGGGCGGCAAGAGATAGCGGATGGGGAAAGGCGTCACTTGGCGACCAAGCACCTGTCGGACATGTTCGATGGCGTCCTCTGCCCCATGTATGTTGGTAATCGAGCATTTGGCCATGTTGGTCTTTAGCCCTGAGGTGTCCGCGAAGATTTGCATAATCCCCTTGATGGCCAGGGCCTCGTTGGCGTCCGGGTGCGCGAACAGTATGACATCATCGGCATAGATGCTGCATTGGAACTTGATTCCATCCGTGCTCATCTTCTGTATGCCCCGCTCTCTCGCCGTCTTTGAACAATCTTCCGAGCACTTCCATGGCTATGATGAATAGCAATGGCGAGTAGTGAGTCACCTTGCCGCACCCCGTCCGATGTCCCACATGTCCGATCGACGGCTTCCTGGCCGGGCCGTTTAGTAGGATGTTGGAGGTTGCCGACGAAAGTAGGGTGGTTATCCAACGCCTCCAGCACGGGCCAAACCCCATCGCCTGGAGCACAGCAAGCATAAATGGCCACTCGATAGTGTCGAAGACCTTTGCCACGTCCAGTTTGAGAAGGATCTTGGGTATCTTTTTCTTGCGCAGAGCAATCGCCGCCTCCCTCGCACGCATTTCTGAAATTGTCGGTATGGGACCTTCCTCGGATGAAGGCATTTTGATTGGGTGAGATCGGTCGTTCATCCCGGGCGCTAGCCCGAGAGCAAGAATTTTGGACACCAATTTTGCCAAGCTCAGGTATCATTGTTATCGGCCTGAATTGGGACGGCTTGTTGGCGTCATTGCCTTCGGCAATGGGACGATCGAAGCACCGCTCATTCGACGCCAAATGCCCCTGCATCTCCAAACAAATACCCACATTGATCCCAGCGACTACCTGGTCCTTGATTACGTGCCACGCAGACTTGTAGAACGCCCTGTGAAACCCGTCGAGGGCGGGTGCTCTGTCAGGAGGCAGCGTCTAAATCGCAGCCTAGGTTTCCTCTTCAGTCAGTGGCTGCTCCAAGTGCGATAGGTCAGCCTGCGAGATACCGAGCTGCTCAAAGTCGACTACCCTGTCCAGATCGGTCACGACACCGAACACCGCCATGAAGTGGTCGGTACTCATACCGCCATGGTGTCGTGGTCCGATGTGAAGGTGTCACCTACCTTCAACCTGGTAACGATGTTCCGCCTTCTTCTACCTCTTGCCAACAAGTGAAAATATTTGGTATTTGCATCTCCGTCTGATAAATAGCGTACTCTGGCCCTCTGCCTTGCTATCGTTTGGTCCAGTGAGGATAGGCCGAGGCATTTGTGTTTGAGCTTGGCACGCAGCTCCGTCTCTGAATCCGACAGTGCTCTCTCTTCAGAGATTTGATCTAGTTTCAGTATGATCGCTCTGCTCGCGCACCAACCCAATCCTGTGCGCAGCCCAGCTTCGCAGTTCCTTGGCCAGCTCCTTGAACATGATGTCCAACCTTACGATCAGATCATGCACCGAGTCAGGACAGCTCCAGCCCCGTTTTAGTGCATCTTGGTAATCTGGGAAGGTGGGCCATCGAAGTGGAATGTTGGCTTCGTGTAGGCTGTCAGGCTTGTTTGGAGCAGCAGCGGGCAAGAATTAAACAAAACAACGACATCGTTGGAGCTGGCTGTACATTCCTTCTAGTTGTATGATGGAGTATGGAACTGGCGACGAGAACGAGACACCATCATCACGCGAGAACAAGAACGTCATCAGGTCGTACAGTCTACGAAGGGGTCTTCTCTAGAGAGGACACCATCATCCGTCCAAAATATACGGGGCAACTCGTGCTGGAGCACGAAAGGAAACAGAGCACATCTTGAGGCTCTGTTCTCAATATTGAGCTGCCTGCAATGGTCTTCAAGCCATTCTGGAGTGCAACATCCATTGACACAGAACTTCATGACCTCAAGGAACCTGGCTCTCTCAACAAAGAACTTTGCGAAATCAACCTGTGGCTTCCCTCCTCTGTTCGTTTGTCTTATGAGCCGTATTTTTTCAGCAAACAAACATTGTTTTTCTCTCACAACAAATCAGCGAACGATACTTTTCAGCATGGCTTATCAGCCAAGCGAAGCAGACGGGTCACAGTGCACAGCGTCTTTCGGACCGGTCGTCTTCCAGCTAGTGTAACAGTAGAACTGAAAATAACACCAACATATTATACAAGCCAGCAGTGGGTGGTGAATTAAGAGTAACTCAAACTTGTTCCGAGGTGTCACTTAGGTCCCTGAACTATTAATGTATATATGTATCCCTAAACTTGCTAAATGGATCGGTTGAGGTCCAAACATCCCTTGAAACGGGCTACATGGGATATTGACCATGTATACCATGCAGGTGAATCAATGTTGCTTAAGAAGATTTGGGCCTCTAGCGAACCACTTATGCAAACACAGAAGTTCATTCATGATCCTACATTTGGAGATGTTCAAGGACTATATGGTGCATGCATTTTACTCATGAATGAATATAATTAAATTAAATCTGGCAGTAAAAAAGAATGGCTTGCAACAGGAATGCACCTTGATCGTGAGCTTCTCCAAGAAAGGAAAGCATCTTAAATTAAATAGGCTATGACAACCTCCAACTTTGGCAACTCAGGCATATGTTAGGCACGTCATAAACGCCATGTTCGCTTGGCTTATAATCCGTACTTTTTTCAGTCAACGAATAATATTTTTCTCTCACAATAAATCAGCCAACAGTACTTTCAGCCATGGCTTATCAGCCAAGCGAACAGAGCAAAAGTCTGTCGGGCGCCGACGCCCACGATTGCAGCCGTGACGTAGGCTGGACCAAAAACTCGAAGCTCGTTAGCTCGCTCGGCTCGTGGCTGGCTCGACTCGGCTCGGCTCGGCTCGTTATCATAACGAGCCGAGCCGAGCCAAGATTTTAGCTCGTTAGCTATAACGAGCCAACTCGAGCCAGCTCGCGAGCCGCTCGCGAGCTAAACGAGCCAAGCTTTCAGAAAAAAAAAGTATCAAAACTTGTATTAGTTTTTGTATTACTTCATGTCTTACACTTTATAATTGACTGGTAACTGGTTTAGACCCTATAAATTGACTGGTAACTGGTTTAGATGCATTTCTTTTGTATTATTATTATTCTCAAACTTTAGATAAATGCAAATATTATATTTTGTGTATTTTTTATACCTGGCTCGCGAGCTTAACGAGCCAGCTCGAGCTTCTAACAAGCCGAGCCGAGCTGGCTTTCTGGCTCGTTAGGATAACGAGCCGAGCCGAGCTAGCTCGTTATCTTAACGAGCCAGAACGAGCCGAGCCCAAACGAGCCGAGCCAGCTCGTTATCCAGCCTGCCATGCGTCCAGCGCGGGAGCTCAGTTTGACCGCGTCAGGGCAGTATGCGTGGCCAAACGGGTTGGAAGTAAAAAAAAAACAACTGTGTTAATTTTAAAATTTGTTTAGAAAAAAGGTTAAAAAAATCACCAAGGAAGGGGACTAGGGGAGGGGAATATCCTAGATTCCCTTCCCAGAGGAGGAGGAACCATTCCATTCTCATCTCAGGATATGATGGGTGGATTTCTAAATGGATATTCGATTGGTTCCGGCCCGGTCCAGCCCATCCCACATTCCCATCCGGGGGGAAGACGGGCCCACATCTTGCGGTCGTCACCATCATCAGAGAGGCGAGAGGAGGAGGAGATTCCGCGGAGATTCGGTCGGAGTAGCCTTGCCTTGGGTGGGGCTGGGGCTGGGGCGCCGTCACCACCGGCCAGGCCTCGTGGGATGCGTGGAGGCTCTCTCCTTCCTTCTCCCCTTCCTCACCACCCCCTTCCCTATTTCGGTCCTCTCCTCCCTCCCCTTGCGTTCATAGACTGACTATATAGCATTAGCTAGATTTCCTCCGTCTTCTTCCTCCCCGCTGCCCTGCCCTGGTACGTATCCCTCCTCTCTCTCTCTCATCCCCCCTCGTTTCTTGCTTCCTTGCTTGCACGCACCACCATGAATGAATCAAATCAAGTCTCTCTCGCTCTCTCCCCCCAGCCCAGATTTCCACATCCGTACCCAACCCCACGCGTTTTCATTCAACCAATCCAATCTCTTCCCGGCCCCCTCTGCAATCTCCCTCCCCTCCCGTGAGGGAGGCGGTGGGGGTTGGGTTCCTGCTTTCCTGGAACAAGTAACTCGTTCCTTCCCCGGCTCGTCTCCCGGCGATTGTGGAGGGAGACGAAAGCAAAAGAGAAAGACAGCGTCGTCCTTTTCCGCCGCCCTCGCTTTCGATCCCCCCCGTGCCGACTCTCGTTTTTTCTTTCCTTTTCTTTTCCTCTTCCTCCTCCTACACCTCTGCAAATCGCCAACTCTCGTATGCGTAACCTGATTTTGTTTTCTTTACCTCTGATGACTTGCTCGATGCTTTTTTCCCCCTTTCTAAATTCTAATGGCTTGCTCAATGCTTTTTCTCCTCCTAATAAATTCAGGAAGAAGCTGACACCACTTGGAGTTGCTGCCAACTACCGGGCTCGGCTGTCAAATTCAGCCAGCCCGTGTCCAATTCCAACTCCACCGGTGATAAATAAATCATCTACAACAGCAACAGGGAGGAGGTAAATCATCATCTCCCCTTCCTGTTACTTCCTACAGTATATATGTATCTTTTTTTTCAGTTCTGCCGTATTGTTTGTTGACCATGACAAAGACGTCTCCACCACACCACAGATGATTCTTCGGTCCCCTTCTCGGGGTCAAATGTGCAACACATAAATAACGTGGCAGACAGACTTGTTCCAAGTCCCACTTGGCTACACTACACATGATTCTTCTTCTTTCCTTCAAAAAAAAAAAAGAAAGAAAAATCGAATCAATTCAATTCAATTTATGCAAACCGCGTGTTAGGACAGGCAGCAGCTAAGCCTTGTTGTTTCTTCCTCCTTTCAAGCAGGGCAGGCTGCGGAGACATAAATAACGTGCACAGGTTTCCTCCTTGGCCTGTCACAATACAAGAGTATCATTCCTGCTGAGAGGTTCGGCTCCACGCGCCCCACGATGGCTTCCTTCTCGGGACACCTCCACCGCCCCCTCTCCGCCATGGCCGTGGCCGCCTTTGCCGCCGTCTCCTCCCACGAGCTTCCCGACAAGTTGTCCCACCACAGGCTTTCTGATGCGAGCACGAGCGCCGACGCGCTTAGGGTCGCTTCCGTCGACCAGGGCAGATGGTCTAGCAGCAGCGGCGCCTTGGCCTCTGCCCTTTCTGGCACGCAGCTGCTGCCACGCGACCTCCACAGCTTGCGTCTTTTGGAGGCGCCCTTCGGCGTCTCTGCCGGTCATGCAGACGGTTTATCAGTATGCAAACTTTTATCAGTATGCAAACTTTCCCAAGACCTCGGGACAGGCTGATGCGATGCCTGCGATTCCTTCCTCGCCGTCCGATGTGCTGTACCGCTGGCACCTGCCAGACCCCAGGGTCTGTGCCGACTTCCTGACAAGTCTCAGACGGTCGTGGTCCTTCTTGGGTGGCTGGGCTCAAGGCAGAAGCATCTCAAGAGATATGCCGATTGGTACACCTCCAGGGGCTTCCATGTCGTCACCTTCACCCTCCCGATGTCTGACATTGTCAGTTATAACCTTGGAGGGAAGGCTGAGAAGAATGTTGAGATGCTATCTGAACATCTTGCTGACTGGGTCAGGGAGGAGAGTGGGAAGAAGATTATTTTCCACACCTTCAGTAATACTGGTTGGCTTTGGTACAATACTCGTTCTCCTGGATTTCTTTCATCATTCATCAATAATGATCTCTCATCATGGTTTTTAATGCTTAATTTCTTCATTGTTTAAACATTGCAGCTATGGCGTAATTCTAGAGAACTTGCATCAGCAGGATCCTTCAGCAGTGGACAAAATTAAAGCTTGTGTAGTAGACTCAGCACCTGTTGCTGCACCTGATCCTCAGGTACAAAGTTTAGCTAGACTCATTTAGCTCTTTGCTAGTTCTTGGAGCTGTTATTTACAACTTGTCATCTGCATTCTTCAGTTCCCATCTGAATTGCATTTGTATGGCAGACAAAAGTTCCATCATTCTTTTTTTTCCCCTTCTTTGACTCGTGCTAGTATTTAGCCATTTGCTTCTTTTATCATGTTTGCTGTAGATTAACAAATCTGTTTGTGCTGTTTTCTGAATTCAGGTTTGGGCTTTGGGCTTCTCGGCTGCCCTCATGAAAAAACGTAGTGTCACCACAAAGGGACTAGGATCAGACGATTCAAGGTCTGATGTCCTAGTTGTGGAGTCTAACAAGGAGCCCAAGCTGGGAGCAACAGAGGCGGTTCTACTGTCAGCGCTGGAGAGTTTCTTTGATGTTGTTTTGAACTATCCAAAGATCAACAGGTACACATCTTGCCCACGTCTGCAGCAAACCATTGGGTTTCAGTCTTATCTTTAAGCCCTCTTCAATTGTGTAGCCCTTTAAGCGGGATGGGGACATCTGTGACCTCTAACTAACTGCTCACCTCATGAAAGTTAAATAATTAAATTTCTGAATGGCTGTACAGTCACGTCATCGTCCACCATACCATGACATATCTCTGTGGTAGTTGACATTGCATCAAGAGTAAAGTATACTACTCATGAAACAAAATAAGTACCATTAGATTAGTTATATAATATATTTTCATAATAAGTTTAGTTGGAGACATAAATGCTAATATTATTTGCTATAAACTTATTCAAAGTTGAACTAGATTGACTAGCACGTTTCCTATAATAGCATTCTTCTGTGGACGGAGTGAGTACATGCGTGTGGTTCACAAGGCAACAAGATGACCTTATAAAGTGGTGACAACTGTTGAACTCAGCATGTTGGTGTCCTTTTTAATAGGAGGTTATCTGACGTGATGGAGCTTTTGTCTTCGAAGCAACCAAAGTGCCCCCAATTGTACATATACAGCTCCGCCGACAGGGTGATCCCAGCGAAATCAGTGGAGGCATTCATCGAGGGTCAGCGGAAAGCCGGGCACGAGGTGAGGGCTTGCGACTTTGTGTCATCGCCCCATGTGGACCATTACCGGAGCAATCCTGGGCTGTATACTTCTCAGCTGGGCAACTTCTTAGAGGAATGTGTGCTTGCCAAGCGCTGTGAGGGTGCTTGCGCATCATGATTATACAAAACGAGCAGTTGTTTCTCTTTATTTGTCCCTGGTCTTGAATTGAAATGCACCAGGGACACTGATATACGTGGGTTACACAAGAAAAATCCTGACCTTTTTTTCCCTGTCTTCTTTGTTTTAACTGTCTTTGTGGGTGACCTTTTTATTTCGTCTCTTCTTGTTTTAACTGTCTTTGTGGGTTGAGTTTAGGCGCACAACTGTAAAAACGTTGAGGAGCAATAACCAAAAGAAATGAGAGGAAAATCTTTTTTATCGATTGACTGACAGGCTGAATTGCATTCTGATTATTTTACTCGACCTGTATGGATTTGATTGATTGATGTGCACGGTTGTCTGCTCATATTTGTGGTGTGGTTGATATGGTCAACAAATTCTGATTATTTGTGGTGCTTGCTGCACAACCAACAGGATCCATATCTCTCTTCTTCTTTTGAAACGAACAGGAATAAAGTATGAAATGAACGTTAAAGTGAAATTTTGCTGTGAATGACTCTGCATTTCTTTTTCTTGCTTGGATACCCATTTTACTGAGCCGTCAATTGTAATTTTTTTTATGCAGAAGACTAGAGTCAAATCGTACCATATTATGAAGCTGAATTCATTAAAACTTTAACTAAACTACTCGTATGGCATGTACTCGCTTGAACTTATCGGCGGTACTTTTTCGGCGGCGAAGGAACAAATCAACAACAGCAACAACATTCAAATTTCAGCGAGCCGATCAGGGCCTACATATATGGGATGACACGTAGGACTGATAACTATTTTTTATCCAACCCTCCTTAAATTTGTCCAATGATCTCATCTAGTACTAGATAGTACACTTGAAATACGTTTTTAGCACCCTAAAGGCCTAAACTCGCTAATAATTACTACCACATAAATAAAGTACAAACCTGCCCGTTGTGTTTGTAGGGCGGGACCCAGCCCAGCCGCCTCCCCCTTCGTCTCCTCCTCTGACCCTTTCCTTCCCTTGGTTGATGCCGCCACCGCGCGCCGCCGGCGGGTCAATTCCTCCTGATCCTGCCGCCGCCAGGCCAGAGGCAGCAGAGTCGGAGGGCAAGCTGCCGCAAGCTGTAGCAGACGCGATGTGGCTCCAAACCCTCTCCGAGCCCGAGCTCGTAAGGCAACTCCACGCACCACCGCTCTTGTGAATTTCTGATGGATTCCCGGCCGATTGCAGCAGTTCCGATCCCACTCTGAATCTACCTACTAGAGTAGCTAGCGAGTAACCAAATGGAGGTTATCCTTTTGTTCAGGATGTGTTGGTGAGCCTGAGGGAGCTGGCCGTCACGCGGGCCACCAACGCCGGCCATCCTGCCCTCGCCGACACCGTCTTCCATCTCCGCGCGCTGCGGGCTCTCGGTATATCTTACTGTATATTATATGTTATAAATGTTCCCTTTTTAATTCATTTGCCATTTTCTCTCGTGCTGCTGCCCAATTTGTTTTGCCTGCTATTGCTATTGCTGCTGCTGCTGCTGCAGCAGCAGCAGCAGAGAGATAGAGATTGTTTTGCAATGCTGCAAGAGATTGTTTTGCCTGCTATCCCTTTTTAATCCTACCTTGATATGGATTAGGATTAGGGAAAAAAAATACAGTTGTGAATTTTGCATTGCTGACACCTGACCTGACCTTATACTTATGGATGCTGTACAGGGATTGTTTTGGTGGAAGAGTTGAAAGAGCGGCTCAGGCTAAGCTCAGCTAATGCAAACGTGCTGGACAGGCTTGCGTTGCTAAATGATCCTGAGGCTGAGGCAGTCAGGCCCAGCCAAGATCACCAGATGCCAGTGCCAAATGGTATCCACAAGAAACGAAAGCAAAGGCAGGTGCAGGATGGGTAAGCATGTATAATGATCGCTGCTGCTGGCCTGCTGCTGCTGCTTGTATTCTCTGTGTTGTTACATAGATTAGATAATAAACAAAATCTCTGTTTGATTAGGGGGGTAGCAAGACCATCACGCAAATCTGCATAATAATCACTGCTAGATAAGATGATTCTCCAACTTCTCCTTTGTAGTGTTTGAGTGCACAAGCACTGCATGCTATGTCACCAAAATTCAGTGGCTAGTATACATATGCTCACTAAACCCCGCCCCAGCAATTCAGTTCAGTTGGCGCTGAGATGATTATGATCTCATATGTTGGCATTCAAATGCTGGTGGGATGCAGAGGGTGCCTAAAGTCCAAAGAGACAAAAAAACAAGACAGGAGTGACCTGGCCTGACCTCTGAGGATTTACAAGGCCGATGCTATTGCTGACCAAGTAGAAGCCCTACTTGTCTGTCCCTAAATATATGTCGTTTTTGTTTTCCGAGAAACAACTTTGACTAGATATATATTAAAAAATATTAATATTTATGGTACATAATCAATATCATTTGAAAGATCTTTGAATCTAGTTTTTTAATAAATTTATTTAAAGATACAAATGTTGTGTGTATTTTCTACAAATCAAGTCAAACTTATGGTAAGTACACCAACAGCGACAGTTATTTAGGGACGGAAAGAGTAGATATATATCTCTACTGAAGAAGCCTGGCCAAGTGGTCACTGAAGAAGCCTCCTCTTCGGTGCCAGTCATCATCTCAACATGTAGCGTCAGGCCGCCGCATCACCGATAGGTTTAGCTTCACCGATCGATGATGATAATGATTTACATGCACTGTTTGTGGTTGATGCCCAATCTTGATCCTGTTCTGATATACGTTTCTTGTGCAGTTGGTTCAGATTGAATGGTGAGCCCTGAAATTCGTTTGGTTGTAATTCCGTCATTTTTCATTTTCGATCCTACATTGACTAAAACATGTGTATGGAGTACCTTTGATTTTGATTCCATCTCAAGCACATGTCGCCAATCGCAGCCAGAAGCCCAGAACCCTTTTTTTTTCCATCTCAGGCAGGTACAAAGCCCACGCATCCAAAAAAATCGTCTACCGCATGCAATGAAACTGCCGATTGCAACATCAACTATTATATTAATATATATGTAGCATATACCAACCAAAGAACTGGTTCCGACATTAACAGCCGATGCACGCCCACTTTCTAAAGCTCAATCTGCATGCAACATGACACAAAACCTGAATGCGCAGCTTCAAACAATGATATATACAATATAGTTGATCATAGTACAACTTGCACCAACCCTGGGAAAAAAAGGAAGATGGATAAAAAGGGATGCATTTCATCTATGAGTTATACGATGATGATTTACATAATTTCAGCTCTCCGTAGAGAGCAATTTGGCTATATATTATGTCAACTAAAACAAAGCTAATACATTCACAAAGAACCAGATCTACACAAGGTGGTTTCCAGAAGCTAACAATGTCCTTGCCATGTCAACATCTCTCAAATCTACCAGTAGCTGATCTCTTATTCAGTTCTCCGTGTATGTCTTCAGACCTAATAGAACTGGACCCATTTTCAGGTGCCAAAGAAATATCCTAGAATACAATGTCCAAGGTGCCGCCATAAACGGAACATTGAACATACCATTTTTAAGAAAGCGGGACAAAATCGATTATGGCTGCAACAAACCTTCAGGCTCAACGACGCGAGTACATATCCCAACCTGACTCTGGCTCTTTTCGTTTCAGCACCAACCCAGAACTACCACCCTGTGACACATTCCTCATGCGTTCATCCACAAACATTGTCTGGCCCTGGTAGGACACGGGCCAGTAGCTCCCTGCCTCCCTCCGTGCGCCTTCAGATGGCACTCCATAATTGAAATCCATGCTAGGATGAAAGTAACTCAATTCATTAGATGAGGGTGGTGTTGCTCTGGGGCTGAAAGATGGATGAGAAATGCCGAGGCTTAGACCTGACAGCGGTGGTATGACTGGTGCACCCTTTGCATCAACCAAGTATGGACTGCCCCCAGGGGCAAAGAAGGCTGGGGGAAAAGGCATAGCAGGTTGAGATGGATAACTGAAAACACTATAATCAGGAGTATGTGCAAAAGACTGAGTAGGTCTTGGAGGAACTCTTGATTCAGCACTTGGTCCCAGAAAGTTATGCTGGTATTGCTGCCCATGATCTTTCTGCCCTACAACTATCCTCTTACCCATAATTGTGACGGCAGAATGGTTCGACATATCCCTTGAAGGAGTCTTGACAGAAGACCCATCCATTCCTCGCACAGAACCATCAGCGATTGACATGTCATTCAAGTCAAAGTTTCTGACTGCAGGTTGCCTTGAAGATGAGGAGGAAGAAGGCTGACTCCAGTTGCCATTAAATTGTTGGCGATTCCACAATGGCGGCACATTGCTTGCAGTGACAGCATCTTCCTCATCACCACATGAGAAATTAAGGTCAAGTTTCAGTCCTCCGCTCATACCAACTGCTTTGGAAGCACCCTTGGAAGGTAGGTCACAAGAAGTAGGCAGGATTGCTGTTGAGAGTGGTTCACCAGAAGTAGCACTATCGCTGTCAGCTACATTTAAATCAAATAGCATGTTGCTTGTTTTATGTGAAGAAGCTGAAAGCGACTTCTCTGCATCAGGAGTCCTCCGAGGTGAAGCTGGTCGAAAGGCACTGGTTGCGGCAGAGCCTTTCCACCCAAGTCCACCTTCAAAGTGGAGCCGAGCTGGAAACACAGATGAGCCTCTTGAAGCAGCCACAGCTATAGGCATTGACAAATTGACAGAATTACTAAGGACGGACTTTGGATTACAGTCAGTTTCCTCGGCACACTGATTTTCATTAAGGTCTAAGTTCCCCAGATCCACACCCCGTGTATGTTTTCTACTCAACGGACCGCTGCCATCTGTGATGCCTGATCCATCCTCCTTATGAGATGAGGAACTTCCTGACTTAGCCTCTGTACAAGAAGATTTATTATCATTCAGTTCACTGGCAACAGCTACAGGCTGCCGCGGTGCTTCCAGGTCAGGACTGTCAGCATTCCTGGAATTAGTATCAGGAGAACTACAAAAGGGTCCTCTGTAGTCAATAACCTCCCGCTCCACCTCAATAGCTACCAGACGTGCTACTTCTAGTGCATCTGTATCATCGTAATCTGTCAGTCGTGTTGATTTCTCCCCTTTCAAGGCAGTGGATTTTGTGTCTGTTGCCTTGGAGGAGTCCCCAAAGCTTGACATACATCTTTGCAATATATAGTCACTGCTCATGTCCATATCATCTGTACTAGATGATGATGTAGGTTCATCTTCTTTGCCTGTACTTTCCTCGGACAGATCTTGCAAATCACGGGTTACAGCTGCAAGTTGGTTCAAAGTTTCAGTTGTATCCTTCTCCAAATGTAACCTACCAGCTGCAAATGGCTCAGACTCTTTGATACCCGAGCTAGCTGAAACAATACTATCCTCCAGACCTGTTTTGCTACTAGCAAATAGCTTGTCAGGTTTATTATGGTCTACAGACATGGCTGCTGGAGTCGAGTCCACCGGTGCATCTTGTCCAGTATCACTCTTTGCATTAATAGAGTTTGACCGGAGTATGCCATTAGTGGGCAGTTCTGCATCATTGGAAGAAGTTCCCTTGGTGGTGGACTGCCCATCTTGTAAACCCACATGACCTGCAGATGTAGGGGATGTGACCAAGTTTTTCACATCCCCTAATTCTGTGTTTCCATTTGATGAATTCGGTGATGTTAGCCCCGGTGGTTGCTTTGTTGCATCTGTATTGTCATTAGTCAGAGAAGGATCGGACAAAGGTGCATCTGAGCAAGTTGTCGCCTCAGGTTTTGATTCTTCAGCAGGCTCTCCATCTTGATCCGCTACACTCTGTTTCTTAGTTTCTGTCTTGTGGCTAGGTTCTGGAGACTTAAGCTGATCAGTCCGGCATGCCTCCTCTGCATGAAAATGCTCTCCATTTGTACCATGTTTTGGTACAGCGCTCCACTTGTGACGGAGTGCTCTCGCCTTTTGGTTGATCATGGCATTCCCGTGAGCAAGCAGGTGATCAACAGTAGGCATAACTCTACAGGAGGCTGACTGCTCATTGCTGATTGGAAGACACTCCAACGCAGTCAATATGGCAACTATAAGATCCTCCGCTGAACTGCTGACGTCCCCAACACATTTTTGAGCATCCTGAAGCCAACGGTTGAGAAAGGAAACACCGTTTAGCTGAACGAAATGCTGAAGACACTCTTCGTTTTTGGTGGATGCTAGTGTGTTGGCAGCTGTGGAGCACTGCCTTATCACGTCAGACGTGTTGATGTCGGCGGAGTCTTCCAGCTTGTGCATCTCAGATATGAGCTCTGCGATCCTTGCGACCGTGGAGATGCCATCCTTCATCTCAGTAAGAGTGAAGAAATCCTCAAGCATGGTGCGCTGAGCAATCTTTGTCACCGTTCTGCTACTTCACCCTGGGACCGAATTGTATTATTCTGTGTTGGGTCCCAAGCTGACCAAAACTCATTCATTCAGTTTTGCCAAAATTTCCTGAACGGAGCAAAGGAGTTGAGTGAGTAACAGGTAATAATACGGGCAGAGCGAGCGTGAGAAAAGAATAATCTGTCTATAAGAATGACATGGATATTGGATAATAATAATGATGGGCAAATACTGATTTTATTATTATATATGTATGTAAATTATATAGAGCAAGTAACGAAAAACTGGAGCAGGACAGGATGGTAAGAGGTTGGAATACCTGTGGTGCCCTGGCAGAGTGATATCATGGCCTTCAACAGTGATGACCGACTCGCCAGCGTTGAGGTTTCCCTGCGCAATAGAAAGTAGCAGCACAAACTGAGCAATGTCCTGCAGTGTTTTTTTAGGGCAATTAAGACTCGAAACAAAAAAGAGGCTTTGGTCGCTTGCTAATTTTGAGAGTAAGTAAATACATACTATATCTGTGGCCGGTG